GAGAGAGAGAGAGAGAGAGAGAGAGAGAGAGAGAAATGGTGATGGGGGTTGGAAAGAAGAGAGAAGAGTCGGCTTTTATGTGTTACGTTTCCAGAAGGAGGTCATTTGAACACCTGAAGATATTTATTATTGTTTGTTTTCGAGTCAACTATTGTTTGTTTTGATGCGTACGAGTCAAAATCAGGTACTGTCTCAGTCTACAGATAAAGGGGTAGGGAGCCAATAATGAAGATTTTGCTACGGTTGCAGTTGGCATACGGATACATCCGAAGGTGCGGTGGGAAGGTTCACCTTCAAAATGTTATCCTACTGTATAATTTTGATGTAAAATATTATTAAGATTATTTTAATATTTATTTTTATATCTAATTATAAAAATTTAATTTGAAAAATAATTAAAACCAAATAAATTTATAAACATATGAAAATTTTGAAAATAAACGCTGTAAATAATATGTTGTAAAGTGCCTTATTTTTTATAGTTAAACTCTTTTTATTTTTCATAATCATACGTCTCGATGTCGAGGTAATCAAACAAAAGGTTTTTCAACATTAAAACTACCATTTTCGATGGATTTTTTAGGGACATCCGTAGTTCTACATTATAAAATAGCGTCCTTAGATAAACTTTTCCCGTTTGCTATTCCATTGTAATAGTTCCACATTATAAAATAGCGTCCTTATATAAACTTTTCCCTTTTGCTATTCCATTGTAAAAGATTGGTGAACATTGAGAGGCCCATAAATAAAACTAAAAGGTATAAGTGTGGCAATGGGTCGAGCTAACACTTGTCTTTGTAGGCAGCCTATCCCTTGTTTCTATAGGCCTGGCCGTGACACACCAGGGCGGGCCACAAATAAATGAAAAAAAAATCAAAGAAAAAAGCCAAAAAAAAGGGTCGGCCGGGTTGAACTCCATGCCCTCAAGCCATATTTCTAGCCCGGGCCCTATTTTGTAGGGCCCGACCCATTGCCAACCCTAACGGCGGACTCCAATTCCCATTTCCCCCTCTCTAATTTATATTTATATTTATTTTATAAGAGATGTTATCCACTTGTTAGATTCTTTGTCAGAAATGTTATCCCCTCGCCGCTCAATCTGTCTTTTTCTCGTCTTCGTAGGGAATGGATTTGTGCTGTTACGGAGCACATTGTACTTCAACTCCCTCAATCAAGAGGACTCCTTAGAGGTGATTCTAATATGAACTTTTCAAATCCACGAACATAATCCAATATTTATTGATAGAAAAAGTATATCTATAAAACTATTTACTTTTGGTATAAAAATATCAGAATCGTTCTTATCGATCATATTTCAAATTGAGTGATTGTAATAATATAGATTTAAAAGTTAAAAATAAATAAAAAATATTCTCAGCACCTCGTGATTCCTCCCCCCCTCCTCCCTCCCGAGTAATTGTGACCTCTTTGTAATATAGATAATGATGAAATTTCTATAAAGCCCATCTTTATGAAAACAAAATAAAGCTTCACCTCAAATTCTCGTTTTGGAAAGTACTTTCAACGATGGAAATATCTATAATGGATCTAAAATCAATTTCCGACACTGACAATAAAATTTGAAACTAAAAAATGGTACAAATCTTGTGGATCTGTAACAACTTATTTCTAAAGCAAAATGGACGATTTAGATAATTTGTTACAATATCGACTAGCTTTAGAGCTTGAAATCTTTTTTTCTTTTTTTTTTTTCACAACCATATGTTCAAGTGGAGATGAATTCTAGTTTTTGATGAGTCATGAAGTGAGGATTAACCTATTATGATAGAGTTGCAGCCCTATCAAACCATTTTTCTAAAGATAATTGGTCTCAATGTATATAATCCCTTAAAAATATTATAAAATTGGATTGTGAGTTCAAAGGCTCGAATTTGTTATTAAAAAAAAAATAGAAGGTCCTAAAATTACTTCAAAATAAGCTTAACCCAAAGAGTGCCTCCAAGGTATGCTCCCGCGGGTTTTGTATATTTAACGTTTAAACAAACATTGCTTTTCATTAGAGCAAGGAATTCTTAATGGGAAATTATTTCGAAAAAGTCTCAGGTGGTTTTGAGAATTTTCCGGAATGAGGTCTTTCCAGGGACCCTATTAATTAGGGTTTGGTTAATACAAATCATGATTCGTCTTTCTACTCTATTAAGGATCATACCCGCCGTAGTGAGACCATAAATAAAAATATTGAGCGTGTTTATTTATTTTAGTATTTTGTATATTTAAGATTATTTCTTTATATGAAAAGTATTGACACTAAATTTTAAATTTAATCTTATTCTCAAGTCAAATATTTAAATTACTATAAGATAACATGCTCCAAAAAAGTATGACATGAGTGTAAATAAAATACCAAAGATACTTTATCAATTCCAAAGATATTGTCATCAATTTTATTTATATAAATTTAGCAACAGATTTGTCGGCCCACGAGGTATCACTATCACAATTTGTCAAGCCTGATAGATACATGAGTGCAAGTACAAAAATTGATTAAAGTTCCAATCCAATCTGCAATCCACCGATCATGAATTTGTTCTCTCTTGCGATTGTGAAGGATTGGTTTTTTATTAAAATTCTTGTCATTTTTCTCCCCCACCCTCCCCCCCCCCCCCCTTCCTTCCCCACCCCACCCCACCCCACCCCATGTTCGGCTCTCTTTTACATAGTATCACTGTTTTAACACTCGTCGCTTGCTGATTTAGATGTGGAATCAATTAAGACCGAATTGGTGTCGATTTAGATATGGAATCAATTAAGACCGAATTGGTGTTGGGACGGTATGGGTCCCGACCAGGTTCCCCCTATACCTTTTTTCATTTGTTTTTTTTTTTTTCTTAAGCTTATCAATGTTGTATTTAGTTCCCCTAAATCTCTATTTTTAATTTTTATTTATTTCATTTTATTTTTAATTTTTCCTGGATCGATGATCCAAGAATGATCCAAATTGGCGATGTAGACAATTAGTATGCGGATTGGGGGTGGACGATCTGCCTACCGATCTGTGTTTTTTAAATTTTGCAAATTATTTTTTCTTGTCGGTTCAACAAGAAATGAGTTTTTCCTGGGGTGGTTGGTTTAGAGGTGAGATCCTACCATATCAGGAATAGACCATAGTAGCAATAGTGACAAATGGAATTGAAGACATCACTCTATGGTGATTCGCCATGTTGACATGAGCACCTTCCTTCTTTCACAAAATTACTATTAAACCAAATTTCTATTAAGAAGGGGTGTGGTTTCTATAAGATTGCAACCTTAAATAATCCAATTAAGGCGTATTTTATCAAATCATATATATCTCAAAATCTATTTTCATATCTAATTATAAATTTTTAAAAAGGTTAAAATCAAGTAGATCTATAAACATATGAAAATTTTGAGAATGGACGGTCTAGATAATATGTTGCAAGATGAGCTATTTCTGAGACTCAAAATATTTTTTTTTTTTTTTTCATATTCATACATCTCAATGTCGAGATGATCAACTAGAGAGTTTTCAACATTAAAACAACATTTTTTGATGGATTTTTGAAGGGATGCGATTGGCATACTGTAAGTGTAGAGGTAAGCAGCACCCTCAAATTTTATCATGATATATAATTTTGATGTAAAATGTTCATAGGATTATCTCAAAATCTATTTTTATATTTAATTATAAAATTTTAAATTTCAAAAATGGTTAAAATCAAGTAGATCTATAAACATATGAAAATCTTGAAAATGGACGGTGTATATAATATGTTGTAAAATGCACTATTTCTGAGACTTAAAATCTTTTTATTTTTCATAGTCATATATCTCAATGTCGAGATGATCAATCAAAGGGCTTTTCAACATTAAAACTACCTTTTCCGATGGATTTTTGATCGGCATCCGTAGTTCTACATTATAAGGTAGCATCCCTATATAAACTTTTTCCTTTTTGAAGTGCATATTTATTTCTACATTTTAAAGTTGCAACCTTATATAAACTTTGTCTATTAAGAAGGGTGTGGTTTCTACAAGGTTGCAACCTTAAACAATCCAATTAAAGCGCACCTTAACATTTTATCAATGACCGATTTGGACTGATTTTTGGGGTGCCTAATCTGGGTTGCCAATCTATTTTTTAAATCATGGTTGTTGGAATCATCATCTTTACTTTTCTTTGTATACCAAGATCTTGGTCCCAAATCTCAAAGGCTGCATTGCTCTCGATCTCTTCACTAGCTACTGTATCTTCTTTTTTGAAACGAAACCACTCCATCTTCTTCCTTAGCTCTTTGAACAACCAAGATCTTTCTTGAAAGTATGTCACCCCTAAACCCTGATAATCCTTTATGCCTTCTCTCTTGTTCCTAGTTGTTTGGGTTAGGTAGCCAAGTGCTTGGAACATGAATCCTAGGATTTATCAGTGGTCTACAATGCATTGTGATCATAGCAAGAAGCAGTGATTGAAAATTGGTTCATGCGACACGGAAGAGATTGAAAATTGGTTCATGCGACATGGAATCGCCAGAGGCTGACACGGAATCGCCAGAGGCTGATTGGTTTATATGTATATTCACTAGTTCATTTTCTTAACCAAAATGGAAAAGGGGGTGATTTGCTTGCTATCGAGAATTGCCCCATTTTAAAAAAATTTGGACGATTCCCCTTTTTTCACCCGATAACTAGTTTTATCGATTTTCTTTCATAAAGACCATCCTAATCGTTTTTAACTACCATAAAAGTTCTATAACATAATTGTTTTTGGGATCTAAGCCCCTTTTTGATGACATCAAAAATTAAAAAATTAGGAATT